TGCAGCTTCTGAGCGAGCTAAACCTTATTTGTAGTGACTAACAAGTTGCATAATGTTGACAGTCTGCAGAAATATCACCAATTACCACCGCAGACCCAAGAAACACAACAACACACATACAAACTGCCTCTGGGAGCATACAACCATCACAAAAACCATCATTTCTTGAAAGCTGAATCTCAGAAACTCCATTGTGAAGTGTAGACATGACACTGACTAATGTCTGAAACAACCTGCTGCTTACATCTGGGGTTTTTTTTTCTGCATGAAATATGGCACAGACTTTCTCACGCACAGAGACACACACACTTTTGTCGTCATGTGTGCTGTTTAAAGCTGCGTCCACATTTGGAGGGTCAGAGTTTTCGTTTGAGCAGCAGTCAGTCAACCTGTCAGACTGACTCTGACCTACAAGAGAAGCTGTGTTTTGTTCAAAGCAACACTTTTCCTGTTAAACAGGCAATCTTTTACTGCACACACACAGAAATAAACTGACGTTAAAGGCTTAGAACGAGATAAAACTAATAATTACTGACAAAACAAGAACAAAATAGCAGCTGGAATAAATGATGTTGATCTTATCTGTCATATTTCATGTAATTATGCCCTGCTGGGGCTTCCAAGCACTAATCTTAACCACCACAGTTACACCCAGCATCTGGGGACGACAACTTATTGCTAAAAAAAAAACAACCTCTCAATGTAAATACAATTCAAGATGAAAACAACAGAATGAGCGATGGAGGGATGGACCGCTGAGAGAGCAGGATAAAACATAAAATTACATAAAAAGCATCCAAAGTCAAAATAATAATAATAAAAAAACTCTCATCAGGATGAATTAAAAATACACAAAGAAGAGCATTGTCATTAATTCAAATGTGTTAACTGTCTTCAGATGTCAACATTGACATGCAGACATGAACTAAAGTGTCTGCTAGTTCACTCTAACATGACTCCTACCTGTCAGGGTGGCCCTTTCTCCTGAACTCTAGTTTAGTTTTGTAGACTTGGATCAAGCTTCTTTTCTTTCATACTGTGAGCCACTTCCTCTCTGCCTCGCTGACCGGCTGAAAGTCTACACGTTCACGCTCCTTCAGGCAGGCAACGACAAGCAGCCCAGCACAAGCTCTGCCCTCCTCTTTCTCCCTCTGGGGAGTGATTTGTGAGCATCCAGCTCCTCCTTCTGCTCCTCTGTGCTTGGGAGGAGTTTTCTTTCTTTCTTTTTTGTGTGTGTTCAGTAGAGTTGTCTCTTATCAACCTGAACTCCTGCCTCTCAGCACTGAACAAAACTCCCCTCTGCCATCTTCTCTCTCACCTTCTCCTCTCGGCTCAGCCTCACATTTTGTGCACCAAGTCCTTTTATTTGGGACCTTCAACACCAACTGATCAGTGCTTTTGACAATATGTCGATGTACTCTGATTTGGCTCTTTGCAGGATCAAGAATAAAAGGAAAATGTTATCTCGGTAAGACTGTGACACCTTCAGGTGCAACGAAGACTCACAAAGTTTAACCCAAAGTTGGCCTAAAACTAAATCGACTCCCTGCTAACCGCACTGGATCAGTCTTCTAACAGGGTTTGTTGCATTGTCTGCAGAAAAAAAACATGCACGGACACATGAACCAGCACACAAATGTGCACGTGTCTGGGTGTTCTCAGTTGCAGACAATACAAAGGAACAGGAGGACAAAGACAGGAGAGAGTGTTGTCCTGAGGGGGGGCCTGCAAAGGCTCACACACCAACAAAACACCTCGCACACACTCAGAGTGAGTGGAAGTCTACTTTTATCATCATTGCATTATTTTTACTGAAATAAGCTGCTAGAGGCAACAATGATTAGATGACTTACACTGATCACGCAGTCAGGGGAAGATGTAATGATCTTCATCTTCTTCTGTGTCGTTGTGATCTGAATGGTTATTTGAACACTTTGGTACCACTGTTTGTGGAATGACGACGCCAGTGGACAGCTGTGTAGAGATGCTTATCACATCCCCCCATAAGAAACCTTCTCTTTCTGTGAGAATGTTTACTTCCTGGGTTCGGTTCTGGAAAACACTGAGACGGGGCACGAGGAGGAGGGGCAGTAGGCCCCGCTGATGAGTTTCTCTTATTTTCCTTCATACAATCAGATGTTTTGAGGTTTGATTGATCACTTTAGGTGTTTTTTAAAGATGGTAAGCTTTTGAGGTATCGTGGATATAAGATGTGTTTATTACAAAATTTAACTTCTATTTGCAGTTCTTTATTATTAAAAATGTTCTGTATCAGTTAGCAGCGGGTCTCGGTAAGTAGGGATGGGGCCGATCCGATCTGGTATCGGTATTGGGCTCCAATACCAGCACAATTTACGTATTGGATTTTTTCAATCCAACCTGCAGAGATTTACGATCCATGATGCATGTCTGTGTCTGCTGAAACGTCTCCACGTGTGATTCCCTGCCAGCTGCTCTGCACGTTGGCTTCAAACTATGGAATGGATTTCCTGAATGGAGGCGTGTCTCATGAACCCAGACTAATAAGACCCGCCTCACATTCAGGAAACCCATTTCATAGTTTGCAGCCAGCTAAAATGTGCAGTAGCACTGTGGCTAACAGCTAACTAACTTTTCATCTAAACATGTCCGCTGTGTGGAAGTATTTTACACTAGAAACACCACAAAGCAAGACAGCAACGTGCAATGTCTGCAGAGCCATAGCACCACATTAAACCGAAGTAAAGTTAGTTTTACGTTGGACATTCGAGCTCCGGGGCTTCAGTGGTTCACACCCCTCATTCAACCGAAGCAGGAAGCCTGACCCCGGCCAGCCACATCCAATCTGCCATGCTCAGTCTGCCCGTCTCGGACGAAGGGCAGACTGAGCATGGCTGATCAAAATCAGACTGCCTGCTTCGGATTGAACGAGAATAACACACCGCTGAAGCCACGGAGCTCGAATGTTTACCGAGAAGTTGCTAAACTTCATCGTAATTAATGACCAACAGCTATTAGTTGTAGAAAACAAAGGATTTCGCAGCTTTATACTTGCAGCCAAGATATAGTTTACCCTCCAGGAAATATTTAACAGTACATCTGTAGACAATCATAAAAAGCATATGAATTGAAAATTCCAAGAAAATTATATATTTTTTAAAATGAAACAAAAACAGTTACATTATAAAGCGATGTAAAATACTAAAAACAGGAACAATGTCTGTGTTGGTTTATGCCATGAACTTACATGTTTAAAGCCCTTTAATTTTTATTTATTTATTATTATTTAATTCATTCATTTAAAAGAAACAAAATAAACAAAACCATCAAAAAGAAAAAAAACATTGAATAAAAAAAGTGCAGAAAGAAGTTAAAAAAAAATTTAATTAGCCCCTTATTTAGAAAAAAAAAACTTTAAACAGTCACTTAAATTAATCACCTTAATATCCACTTTAAAGCTAGGAATAAAAAAAGCATGTTTTGTGTTAGCAGGATTTAATTCTAACTTTGAAACTTGTCCAACATTAATAAAACTTACCTCTTTTGGACATGCATGCATAGATTTGTACAAATTGTACTTGAGAGGAGATTATTGCAGACTCATATAAAATCAATAATGATGATGATATCTGAAAGGTTTCTGTATTGGCCGATATCCAGATTTGGGGATCTGATCGGAAGTTAAAAAAAAAGGTGGATCGGTTCATCTCTAGCTGTAAGCGCACATTGAGACGAACCATTGTCCTGTTTTTTGCAGCGCCCCTTTGTGTTTAAATGATGCAAAGGCTCAGTTAGTTCATGTCAAAGGTTTGATGCCAGACGACTCACTGACATATGACCTCACTTCTTGTTTTAGCAAGTTGCACCTTCCTGGCAATCTGGCTAATCTCACAACAGCAATCTGTCTGAACGAGACCGTAAAGTTTACCCAAAAAATTCCTTCTGACACCGTTTGATCCGCCTCGAGTCTCATTAACAGACGGTTTTGATGAGTCTTAATCCAGCACGTTTTTTTTTTTTTAGTTCTAAGCTTCTTTCCCACTAATTTTGTTCCAATTCTTGTTGGACCAATTGGATTTTTAATCATCTTCTAAATCAACGAGGGAACGCTGGACTGAATGTTTCTTTAACAGCTGTTTCCAATCTCTAAAAGGTTTTGACTCGAAGTCACTGCAGCAGAGGCTCGTGGCTTTAACAGATGCTGTTGACAAATGTTGTTAACAGGCCAAACTAAAAGGTGGCGTCAAGACACCTAGAGAATGTCAACAATCATCATCACCAAAAGCTAAGCTGATATCATTGATGAAACTCACAGAAAGTAATGAATGGATGTAAATTTACCACTAACAGACTTTTAGAGTTGACCTAATTCAAGATGTTTGTCATTGGTGAAGTTTATTAAACTCATAAAATGGCCTTAACTCAGTCCGGTTCACAGACATTGAGCTACATTTGTTGTGGTTGAAGCTGAAAGTCGGGTGTGAAGGTGGGAGGAGGGATGCATTTCTTAAGGGAATGCAAAGTTTTTAAGTTATATTCTTTTGACTACATTTTTATCTATTGGGATAATTTTGTCATGCATGTGCTATTAGCAATGTTTTAAAATTTAATTTGATTTCTGGAGATCATTCCATTACTGTATAAGATTTTTGGCTTCCAACTCCAACTCTGGAAACTGCAGCCCTAAGACCTACAGCTTCTGTCTAACACTTAAACAGCAAACAAACGATGAAAGATTAAAAAAAAAAAAAAACAAAGTGCATGAAATACATTTTTTGGCTCAATCTCAGCAACATTTCCCTCTGACATGTGAACATGACTGGCATATTTGTGTGTGAGGGGCTATTTCCAAGAAGCTGCACGGTGAGTCAGTGGTGTAATCTGTAATCATGTTCTGACTCACCTGAGCCTTCCTAAAACGCACAAAGCACAAGGAGACGTGCTGTTGATGTGGGGGTGTCAGCATGGGGCGGGAGCGAGACTAATCCTTTAAAGATGATTGACACGTGTCTCTACGATGACATTTTTTCTATGAAGTTGCTGGGAAAAGAACAACACATCCATTACCAGAAGCTCAGAGACAGATCTGAACACCGGGTGTGCAGCTGGAAACTGATTAGAAGCTTAAAGAAAACATGTCAAATGTTCTAATTAGTCAAGACATCTAATGCACGTCCTCTGCTTGAACGTTCGCTTTTAACTAGTGTTCTTCTTTTGCCTTTAACAACTCCGTTTCCAAAATGCAGCACCAAAATGTTCTGTTGACTACGTTTTTAAAAGGTGTGTGTGGATCTTGCCACACCACTGCAGCCGTTTCCTTCACTTCCTGTTAATGGGAACTCTTGGGCCAAGCCCTGATTTGGCACATTGAGACTCAGGCAGCATGGCATGTTGGCACAAAGCCTCGCGGAGTCACTCAGCAACAAACACTGACCAACAATCCACCCCTGGACACAAGTATAACACAAATTATTAGAGGAAAAGAATCTACCTCCGAGTTAAGTAGATTTTGCCCTAACTGCAGATTGATGGAATCAGTCAATTATTTCTAAGTTTCATGATATTTTCACATAAATCTTCAGCAGGAAGATATAAACAGAACATTCTTGCCCTGGTATCATCCTCAACTTTCTCCATTTTCTCTCCCCCTCATTCCACAGACTCCCTGGTCTCCCTCCTTCCTCTCTGTTCTCCTCCACTGCCATTTTTCTTCTAATGGATCTCTTTGCTCGTGATCCTTGTGTGTGTGCGTGTTTCTGATCAGAAGAAAAGAGTGGGATGTAAACAAATTAATGGGCACTTCACATTCTTCAGGTTGCATCCCTTTTTTTTTTTTTTCCCACCAAGGAAATGTCAAATTTTTGGTCGAAACCCGTGGCTAGTTGCAAAAAATGAAATCTAATTCCTTCTGACTCATCGGAGCAGGTTTTTGTGGGACGTCAATGTCAGCAGTTCATCCATAACAGCAATTCAAGAAGGTACAGAGGACTGTGTGTAAGTATTCAGTGGATGTATCAACAAGATACTGTGGCAGGAAAAGAAAAGGAACTTTTCTGGTTTCAGGCCACCACCAAATCTATCGCCACCCCACTCCATGCACAATTTATCCCCCAAATCCTCCTTGTCATAACCGAGGGGAACCCAGATTTGTATGAGACCCGGAACGAGACAGACTCAGGTGGAATACAAAGAAAACGGTGTTTATTTACAAGGTGAGAAACAACAGTTCAGGTACAGCTCCTCTGCAGCTCCTGGAGGAGGTAGAGGAGCAGAGTCAGGACGAGGCAGAGTTCCAAAAAGGTTGAATGATTGTTTTCTGTGAATCTCTTACAGTTTGATCCAGAGGTGGGGTCCCGTCCTCCGGGGAGCTCCAGAGAGAGAGTCCGGTGGCTGGCAGGGCAGGCACTGGCCGGATTAGAGGCACCAGGCAAAGGAATCCAGGTGCAGGAAAGAACAAACCAAGGAGGGACCCAAGGGGGTCAGCAAACCAGGAACAGGTCACGAGGAGGTCCAGGGAACACAGAACAGGACACGAGGAGTCCAGAATCAAAGGATCACAAGGGGCCCTTTGAACAAGCCGAGGAACCAGGATTACTAGGAACAAGAGAACAAAGGTTAGTACTAGGAAGACTAAGCCTAAAAGGCTTGAAGCACAACTACCATGAAAGGTGATATGCTCCAGCGAAGAGTAGCACTGGACTGCAGCCTTTTGTAGTCGGAGAGCCTCCTCAGTCTGATGGCCGTCAGGTGTGATTAATTAGCGGCCATCTTGGAGGAGGAGCTGCAGGCAGTGGTACTCTTACACTCCTCTGTCTTCTGTCTGCACAAGCACTGAAAATACCAGCATATTACCACAAAAGAACAATTTTAAGGGCAGAAATCTATCAAGCAATTTAAAAAAAGTGCAGTACAGTTGTGTTATTTTGTACTGAACAAAGCACGACCTGTTTCTATAGCACCTTTCTATCTTATCAAGACACTCAAAGTGCTTTACAACACAATCTGTGCCTCATTTACCCATTCATACAACACTCTACTAGATCTGTACAAAGAATAATCAGTGCTTTATCATTGATGGGACACACATCAAAGGCAATGAAGCGTTCAGTGTCTTGCCCAGGGGCACTTCGGCATGTGACTGCTGGTGCATTCGAACCCCCAACTCTTGCATTGGAGGACGACTGCTCTAACCACTCAGCCACAGCCACTTTTAACATAACCCTCTTGAATCTAACAAAGTTACATAACTGCAAATTCACTCAGGGTCAAGCTTTAGGAGTTTTATCACTGAGGATCAACGTGTGCATTATGAAGGTGGCTATATTAGAAAATTACAATTTACAAACTTTCTTGTCTCTAAAAATACTTGTACGTTGAAAAAGAAATAAATCACACAATTAGTGATAACACAGACAGACTAGGCAAACATAATCAACAGAATCAGTTTGAAATCTGTCATTTGTTTTTCACATTTGATCATTAAATGTGTTACATTTAACATTCAAACGGTGTGGTTCCAAATATAAAGAAGTTCAGCTCATCCAAATCCCCAAACCTGTGTTTTAATGCTATAACACAGGATTCAAAGTAGCAGATATTTCTGATGAACTATGAACATCTAGCACTGACACTTTCACAGCGGGTTTGGTGGGAAATCAAAAGTTAGAGATATATTGTTACTACATTCTTGGTCATGCAAAGCCTCTTTTGGTGTTAATATTGTTTAACCTCCTAGCACCTGGCATCCACATATGCAAGAGTCCGGGTCTTAGGAGGTTAATTTCGAGAACTACAGCAGCAGAAGCAGCAAATCAAACTGAAACAGACTCGCGCAGACTGTGCGCTCTCACAGCAGCTGATAAAAAAAGCACAATATGCATTTTCTCCCAGCATGCACCTGGCACATCTGCTGGTTGATGCTTTTACCCAAACACTCCGCGTCACTGTTATAAGGTTCCTCAAACCATATGATCTCCAGCTCATTTTCATTCTTGTTGTCTTGCAAAAACTTATTCTTTTTTTTTAAGCACCGACATGTTGACAGCTGTCAGTCAATCATCAATGGACATGCCTCCAATCTAGCAGCACCCGCTCTGATTGGTCAGCTCATGGACGGCTAGTGGCTCGAGTTTAATTTGGATCAATCAGCGGCCCCAAGCATGCATCTGAAGTGATTGACAGAGAACCTGACAAGTTACAAAATAATTTTTCTGCTCATCTAGTGCCATCAATATAATTGTCCCACTAATGCTGGAGGCCCCTGGGCTGCAGCCCAGGTGAGCTGGTGTATTAAGGAGTTCCAGTCTATAACAACCAGTTTCTCCAATTTCCTCCTCGTGTGAACAAAAAAAAATAGCTTTTATGGAAAGATGCTTCATTTCAATTCAGCAAAATATTCTCATGGAAAAAGAGGTCTTCCAAAACCCTTACATGCTGATGTCAGGGATCAGTCTAATTGCTGGAACTGAATATTCTGTAATCTGACAAATGACATATTAGAGCCGAGTGCTCATCTGTTAATACTGTTAGACACAAACAGAAAAATGTTGATAGTACACGTTGTATTAACTCTAGGTCATGACGATAATGCTGAGGTTTTCACGGTTCATCCTGGGTGCAGGCAACATGAGTTATCCAACACTTACAGGTCATCAGGCTCAAGACATGGCACACCACGTCTCCATGAACCATCTGGACTGAACTGCAGGTGGTTTTCCTCATGCCTCCAACGAAGACAACAAGGTCAAACTATCTGCTGTCTCTAAAACAAAACAAAAGCTTAGATTATTCATTTTGCATGTTGTTCTGTGTACTCATGGTTGTGTTCTGATTATGTGTACTTGTATTATAAGATGTTTTTTTAATCAAAGACAAAGGACTAGTTTGACATTTACAGCAAACAATGGAAGTGGATTTAATGTGGAATATGTATGTGAGGAGAAAAAGTTCTGCTTTAATAACTCCACAACTTTTCAACACTATAAAGTAAAACAAGTATCTCCGTTTTAAGAAAATCTCTGGCTTGCAATCAGACAAACTCCCTACTGACTGCTAGATTTGGACAGAAAGTATTCCGTTACACCAGCAACATCATGTCCATCACAAACAAACAAACTTCTGCAGAAGCACATGCTGTTCTTCTTCACTCAAACCCCTCCACCACGCACACACACATGCACACACGCACGCAACGCAAAACAGTGTCAGTCCAGAGTCTGTGCACCGATGTGGTCTGTGTGTTTTAGTCTTCTCAGTTCTGTTCTTTGGTTTGTACGGCACTGCTCAGCAGAAAAAAAAAACGAGACTTGAACATCAGACAAAATAAGTAAAATACAGAAAGTTAACGTGAGTTTCTGTATTAAAAATATAACAATAGGTTGAAAATGGCTCTGTGGTAATAGCATTGTTATTATCTTCATTAGAGCTATATGCTTTTATTTACACTGTGTGACAATAAAATACATTTCTAACAAGCTATTCAGTTATAAAGAGGTTGTGCTTTTTGGCCGATATGCCGATATATATTTTTCCCAGACCTACTTTTCATTCAACCTTTATTTATACAGGTTAGTCCCATTGAGCCTTGGGGACTCATTTACAAGAGAGACCTGATTTTAACAAAGAGTGATGACAACAGTGGACAACAAAGACAATAATAGACAATCATAAAGGATACGTACAATTTATTTATTTTTCTTTTTAACAAGTGAAAATAAAATGGTATTTAAAAGGAAAAGTAAAAAAAACAGATACTTACAGAGACTACATAGCTTTCTCTGCTGTGGAATTAAAATACTACATTATTCTGCATGATCTTTGTCCGTTTGGCCTGCTACCAAATGCAAATGCCAAAAATGGGGCTGAAAATGTTGTAAAACTTCAACTTGGTTATGCTTAATGTCAAATGTATTCATGACATTTACTCTCTGTAACACAACGACAACACTTGAACAGTGTAAATTTGTAAATTTTCACAAATCTAAGCTCAACGGCACGTGTGATGTCATAACGTTGTGCTGACGCCAGAGGCATCCTTGTCACTGGAATGTCATAAAAACCAGCACCTTTCCATATATATATGTATATAAACAGCATCTTTTATATCGGTGAGTTATTTTGATGGAATGACCCATGTCTGATATTTAACTTTAGCACTAATATCGACCGATACCATGCAGATAATACAGTGCATCCCTAGTTTCTTAACATTTAAAAATGTCACTTATTTTAGTTTTCCTTCCCCAAAATTTCACAAAAGAAAAATTCCTCTATAAATTCTGTCAAGATCTGTATTTCCACCTCAATGTCAGACTCATATTTCTCTTAAGAAATGTAAATTAATTTCTGGGATCTTTTTCTGTTTTCAGAGGATGAGCCTAAGTTTAAGTAAGTTTAATATAACTCAGCATGCTTCAAGAGTCAAACCAATTCACTTCGATGTTGACGTCAGCTGCAGCCACATCAGTCGTTACAAACACTCAAACGTCCCATCTGGACAGAATAAGACGACAAAACTAAGGAAGAAAGAAATCAGTGAGAGTTTTCAAGATGAAAACCAAAAGTCGCATTTCAAGATTTTTTATTGGAAACGTTTAAAAGAAGCAGATTACGATGAGGAAGATAAAGGTTTTTTTAAACAAAAAGGTGCAGCAAGATGCTCTTTTAGTTATAATCTCTTAAACATGATGAATATCCACACAGACTCTTCATCGTAGCAACAGCTGTAAACAAACAGAAGCCAAATGTGTGTGTGATTATTTTACCCTGTAACTGTTCAAAGTGAAGAATCTCTAATTCTGCCGCTGCATTTTAATCCACGCCAACAAAGAAGGTACCTGAACATGCACACACACAAACTCCTGTTCTAACCACATAACCACACACGTGCACCATGTCTGTGTTTAATGTAGTCCCCCTGAAGTGAAAGTAAAATGAATCCTGTCTTTAAAAAACTAAATTACTGCCTTTAGCATTTTTTTCTTCTTGCGTTAATCTTGTCAGGGGCAGCACGGTGGTGCAGTTGGTAGAACTGTTGCCTCTCAGCGAGCAGGTTACCCTGATTCACATCCTGGTCCGGGGGCCTTTCTGGGTGGAGTTTGCATGTTCTCTTCGTGCATGTGTGGGTTTTCTCTGGGTACTCCGGTTTCCTCCCACAGACCAAAAACATGCATGTTAGGCCAATTGGTGACTCTAAATTGTCCCTATAGAGTGAGAGAGTGAATGGTTGTTTGTCTCTATGTGTCCCTGTGATGGACTGAAGACCTGTCCAGGGTGTACCCCACCTCTCGAACAATGGCTGCTGGACATGGGCACCAGTGACCCCCGCAACCCGAAAAGGAAGAAGCAGACGGATAAAAGATAAGGGATGGATGGATTAATGTTGTTAGACTTAAAGCTCTGACGTTAGTTTTTGTATTTCATCCATTTTAATTGAAAATACTGAGGATTTGTCACTAGTAGGGGTGTAACAGTACACGTGGGCGTATTGAACCGTTTCCATACAGCATGTTTGGTCCACGTGCGTACCGTTGCAGTTATTTTTTTCACTCATTAAATTTTATTAACGAGAGATTATGCGCCGCGGAACTCAAGTTCCTAAGCGTGTTTCAGCACGTCGCTAGTATCGTGCAGCACGTGTAGCATTAGCAGCCTAGCATCTCGTTGCAGTCTCCTGTTTGGAAACAGTATGGCTTTCTTGTTAAAAGACAAGTGAACAAATCCAAAGCTGTGTGTCGACATTGTTTCACGGCGATTGGATCTGCCGCAGGCAAAACGTCTAATTTGTTAACGCACTTGAAACAACATCATCTGAATGTGAACGTAGCTTGGGGCAAAGACCGATATCAGCAGCATTTAAACAACCTTTATCAGGTAATTCAGATTGGTCCAAAGCAATAACACAAGCTGTAGGAGCTTTTAAAGCTCTGGATCTACGTCCGAATGTTGTTGATGTGCCGGTTTTAAGCATATATTTAAAGTTCTTGAGCCCCGCTGCCTAAGACATCCCATCATGCCAACACTTCAGCCAAAAAGTTTTACCAGCACTTCATGAAAAAACTAAAACTGATATTGTCAACAAGCTCTGGAGCCCAGATTTTAGCTCTGCCACATTGATGATGAGCTTGAGAGGATATTCAACCACCTCATATGATGACCATGCAAGAAGAGGTATAGTTATTGTATTATTGTGATCTAATTAACTTTTTTAATTAAAAATTATAAACTCGTTAACTTTTTTATCTAAGTGTTGTTTGCAGTCTGAGGATAACAGCTGAGTCTTCTTCATCCACCAGATCACCTCCAGCTAAGAAGTCTGTAATGACTGAACTTGAATGTCACTACTGTATTTCGCATTTAGCATTTAATTAAATAATGAATAAAATGAATTAAAAAAAAGTTTATCTTGGAAAAAAAACAATCATGCCACTTGTTATTAATTTACAACAACCAAAACTGAAATGCATATGACAACGACCTGCTGGAAACCATTGCAGACTGGTAGAGAGTACATTTATATACATTTATTCTTCTTTCAAACAAGCTGGAAGTAAAATGCATTCCTTTTCTCAGCAGCTCGAAGTCTATTTCAGTTTTTAAAGTCACTTTGGTGCCGTTGGGCCTGAAAATTACGGGGTTGACAAAGAGATACGAGGAGACTTTTTATAGCCTCGGCTTCCTCCAGCAGCTTCTGAAAAATGTTCAGCTCAGCCACGACAGAGTGGCTGGTTTTTGAGGTGATGGAGAGAATTCGCTGCATTGTTCTGGTTGCAAACTGCCCTTTTCATCTTACTCGGCCTTTAATCCTGCATGCCAATGGCTAAAAACATTTACTAAATAATTTTGTATATAGGTCAGTGTCCCACATGACTCTGTCACCAAGACGACACCAGGACTTCACGATGTAACCACAGGAAAGTGAATAAAGCAGTCTGTCTGAGAGAAGGACAGAAGAGAGCCAAGGCCTGCTGTCCTGCTGGGCTTAATTTGTTGCAGGTGTGTGTGTGACACAACTTTGTCCTCAGCCAAAAAAACAACCCTCCATGACCACCCTACCTACTCCCATCACCAAACTCTGGGGCAGGAGCATGTCTACTGTCATCTTTTCCATCTCCGTCTGCTCTGAGCAGACAAGAAGTCCAAATCTGATCAGACTATACTCTGTTGAACAGATCATTTAAAAGGTGTGTGCAGAAGAAGGCAAGTACCTCTCCTCTTCTCTCGCTCCTGCAGGAGGTGCAGCGAAGTGAGAAGGTGCAGGCGGTGGAGGTGATTGTGGACACCAAGCTCCAAGAGGTCATACTCAGAGAGGTAGAGAAGATCCTGGAAAACATCCGAAAAGTAGAAACATTCTGTAGTTACATTGTAATCAACCTGCTCAAAACTTCTGTTAAAACAGAAATACTTAAACTTTTGAATTTAAAAAAAATCACAGTCATCACCATCGGAAGAGTTCAGTGGAACAAGTCTCAGCTCAGTGTTTAACTTTGGCGGTCCTGAAACTGAGACCCTGAGTATATCACTAAATATAAAACTGTCACACACCAAACATACACAGGCTGTATTTAACCACAGCCTCGTTGACATACAGGAAGAATTAGCAAAGTCAGGACATGTGCAAGTGTTTTTCCCAGGATCCTTCTCTGTTGAGGAGGCGGTTAATGAAATTATCATACTGTAACCTTTTACAAAGTTCAGTCAGAGAATAAATATCACAGGATAAAATGTCTTTGTCTTCCTATTACGGTAAAAATAGGAAATTTGATGACTTTTTTTCTCCTTTCCCAGCTGCAGTGTGTCGTGATGAGCAACATTGACTTAGATGAACTTTCACGTTAAAGTGACGCCTCACAGAGAGATAAAGAGTTTTGACCAAAGTGAACTTTTACAAACGTATTCTGACTTTGACAAACATCAGGTGGACATCGAGTTAAAAAACAGGAGCCTTATAACGTCTTGTTGCTCTATTTGACTTTATTTCGTTAACAAGGAAAGGTATTTATTGCGTTGAGTTTTCACTTTTATGGCACTGTAGAAAATACCCAACAAAAAGTGTTAATATTGTGTATTAGAGTAAAGAAAAACTCCTGAAGTTAAATCCTGAAGCAGAGGTTGCTAACATGTTCAGCTTTTGATGCTCAAAATAACTTTGGGGTACCTGCAGCTCCAATTCTTTCGAATTATACAAACATTACCACAATAAATAATAGTTTATCCATTCATGACTACTGAAATTTATCTTTTGAAACAAATATAATGAAAATCTGCCATCAGGATTAGATTTGTTTTGTAGGGATCACATTCAGATCCCCACTTCCCTCTTAGGACTGTTTGATAGCTGGTAACATAATAAAACTGAGTGCAGAGTACAGCCACCCTTTGAAAACTAAATCAATAGCTCAGTTAGTTAGGTTCATGTGTTTTGGCTTTACAGTAGTCCCTCGTTTATCGCAGGGGATACGTACCCTGAAGCCCCGCAATAAGCGAACAACCGCGAAGTAGTAGTAGTAGTTTATTTTAGTATTTATAATATTATATATATATATATATATATATATATATATATGCAAGAGTGTGGGAAGGGTTTAAAACTATATAGTATACACTCTTGCAATATTTTAAACAATTGTTGGATTTTATACCTGGATTATTGAGCATGGACTTTGTTGTTTTCAACCTGTTTGACAAGACTGTCAACAAGGAAGAGGGCCGGCAATGGAGGAGGGGGCGTACCAAAGAGACCATCTTATCACAAGCAGAACTGGTTTGTTCCACTTTGGAGTAAGCTGTTGGGGGAAGAATCAGTTTTGTTGTGTGTTTCCTTGACTGATGAAGCCTTCCGGATTGAAGGTGAAACTTTTCAGCACAAAAAAAATAAACTGTCCAGATGACCTGACTGAAAAATGTTGGATTCTAAACAATGTTTCTAAGCTTGATAACACTTTACAATAAGGTACACAAAGTTTGCTTAACCACTGGGGAACGACTCAGGAACGAATCAGGAGCTAATAGTTAACCAGTATTTATTGGGGAACACACAGCCAAGCCTTATTAGGGGACTACTAGTTTGTTACCTTGTAAATGAAGAGGAACGAATCAGGAGCTAATGGATACTAAACCAATAAGTATACAAAAGAGAAAATCCAATAAAATCAGTAACCACTAGGAAACAGGTTTTTGACAATTACAAGCTGTGACCTCACTAGTGCAGGGTTTACTCAGAACCCACATGGAGAATTTCTCCTCTGTTTCTGTAACAAACCAGTAGTCCCCTAATAAGTCTCGACTGTGTGTTCCCCAGTAAGTACTAGTTAACTACCCATTAGCTACTGATTTGGTTCTCTTTGGTTTCCATGGTAACTACCCATTAGTTCCTGATTAGTTCCTCTTCATTTCCCAGGTAACTAGCCAGTAGTCCCCTAATAAGGCTTGGCTGTATGTTCCCCAGTAAGTACTGGTTAACTACCCATTAGCTCCTGATTTGTTCCTGATTCGTTCCTTATGCGTTCCCTAGTAGTTAAACAAATTTTGTGTACCTTATTGTAAAGTGTTACCCTACACTCTCTTAAAGAGTAAGGAATGTCATGATTTCAGCTCCCTGCCTCGTCTGCTCTCAGCCACCTGCAAGCGCTCTTGGCCACGCCCACTTCACAGCTCTGTACAGAGAACAGCTGATCAGCTGCAGCAGAAAGTTTATCTTGCATTATGGGTTGCACAAAAGTGCATGAGGACACTATTTCTGCAGGTGTGGGCTGCACAAAAGTGCAGCAGGTGCTAAATAATTTATTTTAAATTAAAATTCCACGCCGATCGTGCGGCTCATCCATCAATCGGCCAATTGTGTGTTATGTTAAATCTTATTTTGAAACGCCGAGATAGAGCGAGTCCGCAATAAACGAGTCGCAAAGTAGCAAGGGACTACTGTATTTCTATTTCTGTAGTTTCCAAATATTAATTTAGCTTTGTTGATCCTGGCTTCCTGTTTTATTTTGTAGGACTATTTCCTTTGAACATTCAAGTTGTATTTGCTTCCTGTTTGAGCTTCAGTTCACACCTGAGTCTCATTAAGCTGATTATCTGTGCCTGTATTTATTTAAAACTTTTGTTTCTTTGCTGGATCAATATAGCTTGTTTTCTTTACGCCTGGTTCTGCTCCTGCAGATTAACACCAGTGTGTTTTGTTCCCCTTCAGATCTCCTGCTCACCCATCAGCACTTTTGTTAAAAGTCATGTTTCAGTTTTTCTGACCCACTTCAGCTTCCTGATTCAGCATTACTCTCCACATCTTACACACTAATTCATCCATATTTTAAAGGTTCCCATTGTATTTTGAGGCACAGTACATTTAAATTAAACTAATTTTGTTGTTTTAGAGCACAGATTCGCAAACTTAGGTGAACATTTATCATGTTTTATGAATTACAATAAAAAAAAATGCAGAATGGATCATATATTGAGGCTTTATATTTTAAAAAAAGTTTGTCACTTTCCTTAACTCTAAACACCTGACTTGCAGAGCATCACACAATAAACACGAGGAGGATTTTACTGTCCAGAAAGCAAACAATCGTTAGGCGTTAAAGTCTATAAGTGAAATAAATCCGACACAAGACAACAGTTTTGTTTGTTGTGAAAATTAGGAAATAGTCAGTCTAGACAGCTTGGTGGCTCCAGGAGAGTAAAAGAAAAACACGGGTTACCTCCCAGAAAGTGTGCTATCTCCTCCCCTCTTCCTGATCCTGTCATTAGATATGTCAGCACACAAACAAACACACCTCAGCAATCTTCAGTCCTGACTGGAATTAAAACAAATGAGCTCTGGAGCAGACAGTAACCGCTTGTTTCAACCACAACTCATCCATTTACAGAGGGAGCTAACAGCACTGAAACAAGAGCTTCTAAATGACACACAGTGTGTCATCACAGCTGGACGTGAACAAGGTCGCTATTCTTTCACTTCATCACAAACAGGCTTTATTTAGAGCGTGCACATAAACGGGGCCTTTTGAGTTTAAGAATTAAAACAGCATGTTTGGGGAATCAATTAAACCTGCGTCCCAAAGCTGCAAACAAGAACCTGAAAATCCTCAGCTTGTGCAAAAAGACACCGAAGGATGACACATTTTGAGAAACAATATGGACACAGATAAAAAACGAACACACTAATAGAGGAGGCTCAGCTGGTCAGTGCAGTGAGCACGCTCAGACAGGTCAGTAATACGTTAAGTAAAGATCATCCACTCCAGCGAGCAGAACTCAACCCTAATCTGTCTCTAAATCTTCCCCTCCAGCGATCCGTCTCGTCTCCTGTTGCACAGAACACAAAGCCGACATGTTATTTTTGTCTTTTTCCAAATCACGAAGAGCTGATCTACAAAACAAACTGTTGAAGCAGTCATGTGCAGATATGAGACAGAATTTCTGATGCTTTGATGAATGCACCAGTGATGGAGCCAAAGGATGGAAATTCAGAGCAAAGATTCGGGGATGAAATCTGGGTTTAAAGAACAAATTTAATAAAATCACGATCCAAATATATTGGTTACATTTTAATGTGCGTATGCATAGCTACCATTTTTCATTGTCTTTAAAATTATCGCTCATGTTGCTTTGAGACAAACAGATGAGGCATAACAGAAAAAAAAAAAAACCTCTTACATATTTCAGCACAACATGAATCAGTGCAGGAGATTACAAATCAGGTTTTCCTCCCCATCCTGAATGTTTATACTCGTTTTTGGAATTATAATTGGTGTCCAACAGAACAACGGCCGTTCAGCATAATGAAGCACAAAACAGTTTGTCTTTTCATTTGTAATGATTTTAAAATGTGTATTTTTAAAATATTAGTCTATCGAGAGTTACTCATGGCTGAGCTGGTTCAGGAACAGATGAGTTCACAGCCTGGATAACTCTGAGGTGCTGAGCCTTTAGTATTGTTGATGTAATTTTAGCAACGCTGCACTGAGTTCATTATAAATGAGCAACGATTAAAACAAACAGGCAAATCCTTCTTTAACATCCTACAAATCACTAACTGCAGAAGCTGCAGCCATCAGTTTTATGCAACTATTTTAGTTTATGAAGACTTTCCTTTAAATTAAACTCAACACCATTAATGTTCAGATATGGATTTAAAAACAAAACATTATGTAAATTATTAATTCTGGGAATTTAAGTAATATATATTGAAACTCCATCAGTGTTCATTGAAACTAGAAGA